GCCCAAATTGCGGGCCGCGCTGGGCAACCTTAGTAAGGTTGATTTATTGTTGTTTTGCAGGTGCTGGTTTTGCGAATTGAGGTTACGGGCTGTACGAAGGAAGTTGATTGGCTAGTCAATTTGAAACACTGAGCTGATTGGCTAGCAAAATTGAAACAGTGTTTGCAGAGGGGGTTGGGTGGGAAACTGGCAAGGATAGTATTTGTGCAATATGGGACTCATGCAACCAAACGCGAAGTGGCCCCTGGGGTCTACTGAGTCAGCGAAATGTGTTTGAGATTGGCGAGAAGTTGGGCAAAACCAAAGCCCTCAACCCACCCAACACCTCGACTAGCCAACCCTGCTCCGTCACCTCCCAACATGCAACTTTAGTAAAGTTGTACAATTTGGGCCCCGAGCTTTAAAGCCAGGGTCTCATGTACGGGTTGGCCGTGCAACTGCAAAGCACTTGGGCGAAAAGTGGGCTCTTTGGAGAGTCTCGATTTGTCAAAAGTTTGGCCCTAAATTTGTAACCCAATCAGACTGGCCCGTTTTTCATCGACTGCAAAGCACTTGGTCACTTGAGACCCTGGCTTTAAACGGGCGACCCTATGTAGAAAAGGCGGTTGATTTGATACAGTACATGTTCATGTTCACTGTAGTACAGAAATCCCCAAAAGCCTTGAAATTCCAAATTATACTTGAAACCTGAGCAGAGATGCATTTTTGCTATGTCTAACCTTGCAGTATAATGCTCGCTGTTGTAAGCTTGCTTTCCAATTCCCGTGTTTGGGCCTTCACTCGGTAATCCAACTTTCTGTACTGCCGGAAGTACAGTAACTGCTTCTGATCGTTCGAGATTTCATTTCGTATGGATTGCATTCAACTGCATTCTTGGCGTTATTGACCGAGCACAGTTGTCCATCTCACGATACAATGGCAAATTTTGTTAATCGCCGTGTGGTGCAATCTTTCATGGTTTACCCGAAATCGGGGTTGTTTAGGACAGTCTAGGTTTTAAGTAGGGGATGTTCGAGTCTCCTTACTTTTTTTTTTTGGGTTGAATATGTCCACTAACACCGAGTGTGCGTAAACATATGCCAGTCGTAACTGAGCGTAAAAGGCTATTCCTTCAAGAAGGAACAACCTCAGGAGAAGCCTTCTAAGGCGGATGCAGAGCCCCTCTCGCAAGACTCCAAAGCGCGCCAAAATTCCTTGTCCACTTCCAACCTTTCACCGCCGTGCACCTGACACGTCCAAGGAGCTGGTCCTCCCATTCTGCCAGCGCATAGGCACTGCCTTGTCTTTTCGAGCCACTCGCCTTCCCCAGCTTCCTCCCCATAGCGCGGGTGTACACCTTCACATGCAGCCGAAATACCGCCTCAATGCGCCTGAGAACGCGTCGAGCCCTGAACCTCCGCTCCCCCTCGAGTCTCCTTACACGAGTCAGCGGGAAAACAAAAAAGACATGGTCGCAGCGAAAGATCCAGTCTATGGGTTGTGACCACTGGGTGCGGGTATCACGACATTGACACTATACGACAGATAGCCTCTAGTTCCTGGTTGTCTGATCCATAGAACCAAGAACGGTCAAGGGTGATATATAAGGACGTGTCTCAGCTCGCCTTTGATTGCCTCGATCAGACGCGATCAATAACTTCCAGGCAGGTTTGGAGGAGATTTCATGCAATCGGGGGCAATCACTTGATCGCGATCAGCTGATCGCCCCAACACGATCAATCGCCTAAAACAGCCCAATCAAACACAAACCCACACAATCACTAACGATCACTTGATTGCATTTGATTGGGGCACTAAGCGACGCTGGCGAATTGTTACATAATTCGACATGGACTCGTGAATTCGTCGTGAATACTATGCCGTCGCGAATCTGGAACTGCAGAATTTCTGGGCACTTGTTTTCGTGAAATTACAAGCAAACACTCAACTCGCTATATCCATGCCGAGGAGCTCGCAGTCGCCAAAGTGGGCCCGAAAGTGGTAGGAAAGGTTTGGACGATTGCCACGTAACCTCGTAAAAAATTCGAGGAAAAATTTGGCTGATCGGGCGGCGCGAGCTATTCAAACAAAGGCAACCCCATCAGATCAGCCCCGACCAGATCAGAGCCGACCAGAGGCGAACCGAGCACGTCCTAACGATGTGGCCCAGACCGCCTCTGATCGGCGCTGATCTGATCGGGGCGGATCTGATCGGGTTGCTTGTGATTGCATTGCTCGCGCCGCCCGATCAGCACTGAAATTCCTAGAAGTTCCTGCCTCGCAAGCGTTTCAGCATTTCCTAACCCTTTCGTCCCAGTTTTGGCGAGAACGACGCGTAGCGAATTTTATGTTTCCATGTAATATCGCAAATTCCACTGTAGAAGATGCACGGACTGACGAGCTTAACGAGACACACTAACTTCTTCGCGGGATTCGCCAAGATCCCCAATCCCATGCAATCAAGTGATCGTGACTGATTGTGTGTGATTGTGATTGATTGGGGTGTTTGAGGCGGTTGATCGAATTGGGGCGATCAATTGATCGCGATCAATTGATTGCCCCTGATTGCCTGAAATTGGCCTCGGGGCTTCCTGGAATTGATTGATCGCCTCTGATCGGGGCGATCAGTGGCGGTTTGGGCCACGTCCTAACAACAGTTTTGGAGTGTGAAATCGGCGCGGGCCAGGTGCATGCTCTGCCCGCGTTGCAGCCACGCCGTGCAAGCAACCAGGATGTGGCGAGAAAGTGGGTCCAGTGGAGTGACGTGTGAAACAAACGACCCTGGCCTCACCGCACCGCAACCCACTAGCAGAAAAATCTTTCCGGTGGCGACGGCTGAAGTGGGCCGTGCTTTTTTTTTTTTTCCTTGCCAGCGCGGACGCTAGAAGATATGCTCGAGCATAACCCTCCTAGATATAAATTTAGGGCGGGTCAAAAGAGTACGTCCGATTGCGGTTCATAAAGGTTAAGGCTTAATTCAGAGCGTTCTGTTTAGAAAACAAGATGGTTGGGTGGGGTTTTCTGCGAATACGTGCAAAGTTTGACCCGCCCTTATGCGAGAAGTGAAGAGAAAGTTCAGGCTAGACAACAGATTCCCCAGTTTACGAGTTCCACGCTCGTCGTTTCCAATCAAGCGAACGATCTGTGAATCTTGTCGAAAACCGCAGTTCTTTCTCAAGAGCAGCCTTGCACTTCCGTGGGTATTGGGAGGGTGTGAGAAGTTGGAGTCGGCTGGTGCTGCCACTGTTTTCCTAAAACTTTTTTTTTTTAAGAGCCAGTCCAGAAGTGTTCCGGACTTCAGTGGATCTTTGAAAATACCAGCTGCAACGACTTGTGTATCTGCTCTAGGATCAGAAATTGGCTGGCATCTCAGGGCGTGTCTTTTTCGTTCATTTCGGGGTTTTTAGTACCAACACACGTCTCGAGGTTCAAAAATATTCACTGTACCTAAAAACGAATGCATTGTGAGTTGAGTCTCACCTTCCTGTAATTCAGGAGCGCAGACACGTTCTCCGCCACACGAATCAACAGTGCTCTGATCGCGTTCGAAACGAGGTAACAGTTTTCATCGTCAATCATAGCCAACGAATTTTTGGGCAGGCGGGGGGGGGTGTTGGCGAGTGTAGCGAGCTACTGGCGAAATTGTGCAAGCGATACAAGGGGCACTACTGTAGTGGCCAGGACGCGGTGCTGTACCCTTGTTCGCGTCTCCGCTGATTCCAGTAACTTGAGTCAGACGACTCGAGGTACGTGCAGGGGGCGTGCCGTTTTGTGAACGAAAGCTGATTGTGTCCGCAGGACACGTTCAATACAGTGTTACAACAAAAAATGTGGTAACTGAGCGGGCTTACGAACAGTAAATGTACGAGCTGGACACCTCCTCAAGACTTGGGATTGCAATTGCTGGAGTTGCTGAGTTGCTGGAGTTGCTCAGTTGCTGTAGTTGCTGAGTCTGGAGTTGCTCAGTTGCTGGAGTGTGGTGTGCATTTTCACTCAGTCGTTGGCTCAGAATGATCTCCCCCAAAAGCCGAAACCCCAGTTCGACCTGACGTACCAGAAACTCCAGACTGACCTTACAAGAATGGTAGTGACATTGAATTTTCATGGAGTCCACACCGAGTGCACTCTCTTGTCTTGCACACTCTTCCCGACACTGACTAGAGATATGCACCGCCGAATCATAAGCTGATCCGCTGCTTGAAGTAGAAGCGCCGAGCGCCGCTCCCGCGTTGGTGATCGCCCGCGGGGGAGAAGACGGTAGCGGATCTGACACCATTGGTAGTACTCTACGACTAGCTGTCACTACCGTAGCAGCTGCTGATGACGCCGCTGAAATCTGCTCGAGGCGGAGGCTGGAGCAGCTTGAAGGAGAAGCAGGCGGGGGAAGGGGAGGATGACACGACAGGGGGGGTTCCAGCCGCTGGTTGCTCTTCGGTGCTATTCCAGGGTATTTGACAATGAAGATTGGGTGCTTTCAGACTTTGCTAGGAATTTGCGGATCAAATAGCTCGATCCAGCTCCGTCCACATCCTCGTCCGTCCTCTACAAAATTCAAACCGTCAAAACTTTGTTCAAAGAATGCCCCGGCAATGTTGAAAGTACAAGCAGGGAAAAACATTGTAAAAAATGCTACCCTCCAAGCATTGTTTCTAGTTACTGGAGCTATTGCTCGTGCAATGGTTAGTGCGCAAAGATGGGGAAAACCGAGATTTGGGCATAGCATGTGGCGTTGTGAATTTTGTTGAGTCGTCCATCTCGCGCCTCAGGCGCCCCTCTTCTGCCGCCTGACCCTTATCTCTCACCTAGGATCGCAACCAGGGGATGGTTAGGGATCTCATGGCTTGTCACGCTGCTATGGTACTAGAAATCACCCCGAAGCTGCTCTGCCGCTCACTCTCAGAAAACGCTGTTCCCACTTGCGAAGGGAGGCGTTTCATTTCACATCCCCCCTCCATCCCCTCCTCTCCCTGCATTTCACTTCTCCCCGCGCCTTCCACACCCCGGCTTTGGCTCAGTGTTGAATGGGGCGTTGTAGGGTAGCACGCAGCACAGCACAGCGGATAAGCCCCTCCCTCTCACCCTTCGCTTCCCCAGCGATAGTAACTGAGGGCCTCCTTCTACACGCCCCTCCCTCCCCATTCCATCCTTCCCATTCCCATCCCAGCGCCCCTGTTCACGGTGCTGGTGGTCGTGTGGGTGGCATGTGGCTGGCCGTGGCCGCACGGGTGGGCCGCTGAATCAGATCTCCCTTCTCTCTCAAACACTCCTTCGTTCTCTCTCTCCTCTCAAACGGTCCCCTCTCTCTCCCATCCCTCTCCCATCCCTCCCCATCCCCTCCCAGCGCCCTTGTTCACGGTGCTGGTGGTCGTGTGGGTAGCATGCGGCGCAGTGATCGCGGCTTGGCTGCTGTGCAGTCGGCACAAGCAGTATGAGCACCACAGGGAGGAATCGCTGGGCGTGTGGTGCAAGGAGCGCGCCCTCATGCTGCAGCAGCTCGTGCTGGCCCACGCGGTGCAGATGCAGGTAAGATTGGACTGCTCACTCGCAGTCTGGATTGGTATCAGTGTTCTTACCTGCAGCAGCATGGGAGCTGCCCTTTACTCTCCTCCTGCTCTTCCGCCCTCATGCTGCAGCAGCTCGTGCTTACACATGCGGGGAAGATGCAGGTAAGGCATGGGTGCTGCGCTTATGCTCTCATGCCCTCATGCATTCTTCGTTGTTACCAGCGGCATGTGTGTTCATGCCCGCATGCCTCATGATGCAGCAGCTCGTGCTTACACATGCCGGGAAGACCGGGGTTAGGCTGGATTGGTGCCAGCGTTCATACCTGCAGCACGGATGCGTGCTGCTCTCATGATCTCATGCCGTTATGCTGCAGCAGCTCGTGCTGGCCCACGCGGTGCTGATGCAGGTTCGGTTAGCTCCCTAATACTTAAGTAAAAGAGTCTCTCAAGCACTCACAGTTGTGGTGCTGGCCAGCTGGGACTGTGGTGGTGCTCAGAACAACACCGCACAGCACCGCACAGCACAGCACAGCACCACACCGCACAGCACAGCACCACACAGCATGGCACAGCACAGCACATAACAGCACCGCACAGCACAGCATATAACAGCACCGCACAGCACAGCACAGCACAGCACCGCACAGCACAGCACAGCACAGCACAGCACAGGCGCACAGCACAGCACCGCACAGCACTCACTGCTGTGGCATGAGCTCAGAGGCTCTAACAGGCATCGTCCATCCATGCGTAAGCAATCCTGGGCAAACGCACGTATAGGAGCAATGCCTTTTTCTGTTCAGCCCTATGCTATTCACATCATGATCCCAATCCCCTCCCGTTCTCCAGACTCTGGCGGGGCTGATTTCGGTGATGGGAACGCCAGGGCGGGCGAGCAAGTGGGACATGGGCGGGTGTTTGAACGGCAGCATGTGGGTCTCTTATCTCACTCGCACCGCACAAACTCGCCCCGGAAACACGGGTGCGGTTGCGTGTGCGGTGGTACACGATGCAGAGAGGTGAGAGGGAAGGGAGGACTGAGACATCTCATTGATAAAGCGGTTACTGTGCGGTGATGTGGGATGCGATGCAGTGAGGTGAGAGGGGGGGGAGTACTGAGACTTGTCATCGTTAATGCGGTTACTCTGCGGTTGTGTGGGATGCAGTGAGGTGAGAGGGGAGGGAGGTAGGAATGGTGGAGTGGCGCGTAGAAGGCGGGGGGAATCGAGCGTGAGATTTTTGTGACCTATTTCCCCTGGTTTTGAGGTTAACCTTATCCCAATCTGCACTGCACCAGACCTACCTACAGCAGTAACGCTACTCAAACATAAGGATTGATGGTATGCGAGCGCAAAAGGGCTGACTGCAGCGACACAAATGACAAGTTTCTTTTCTTTCTCGCCTCCCCTTCTTACATGATCCCTCCCACCCACCCACGCACTTGCAGAGCGACTTTCGAGCGGCAGTATGGAAGCATCAGAGACAACACTCTGAACGTCAGCGCCCGCCGCCCCATGTACTGCCCCAAGAGTCTTGAGCTCACAACGCTCTTTGCCCGCCCCCCCCTTTCCCATCCTCCCCTCCCCCTACTTCCACACACATTGCTGCAGGGCGGACTTTGAGAAGCAGTATGGCAGCATCAGAGACAACACGCTGATTGTCAGCGCCCGCCGCCCCATCTACTGCGCCAAGGTCCTCGAGCTCACAACGCTGTGGGCCACCAACGGCCCCAGCAACATCGACATGTTTCAGCGATTCTCCTGGGCCATCCCGCTCGTGGAGGCGGGAAAACACTTCTATACCTGGCCCTACCCCCTCGCCAACCCCCTCACCCATGCCGGATTCGGTGAGTGGGTGAGGGTGTGTATGCGTGTGAGGGAGCGAGTGAGTGATCGAGGGAGTGAGGGAGGGAATGAGGGAGGGAGTGAGTGCTATTTAATAAATCATTACCTCTGTTGGTGGAAAAACTTCTCTCATGCACGATTCAATGAGGCGTCTTGGGTTTAGGCGTCTTGAATCGCCTAAACTCAAACCAATAGAGACAGCCGCGCGCATGGGTATGCATCTGTTCCGAATCGCTCCTCTTTCCTATCCCGTTTGTTGCTGTCCACCCTGCCCCAGGTATCGTGGTTCCTATCCTCCGCAGCCCCCCCACTAACAACTCGAAAAAGTCAACAGCAGAGGCAGGAGCAGTGTACGGGTCACTCGCTGCATCTGTTGACGTGACATACATTGCACAGAAAGTCCTAGAAGAGTTGTACGCGCCTGGTGAGTCCTAGAAGAGTTGTACGCGCCTGGTGAGTCCCAGAGATGTATATGTGACCTGCTACTGCCTTTTTTGTGCTCACATTCGCTTCTTAGCATGGGTAGAAGTTTCTCACATTTGCTCACATTTGCTTCTTAGCATGGGTAGAAGTTTCTGGTTTCTTCCTTTGTGCTTCTCTTCTCATCCCCTCTTCTATTTCATCCTCCCACCCCTCCCCCATGCAGACCCATACAAATCCGTTGAGCTATACGACATCACCGACCAACCTCTCTCTCTCCTTTCCAACCCTCCACCACTCCCTCCCCCCCACACAGACCCATCAAAGTCCTTTGAGCTATACGACATCACCGACCCAGCCTCGCTCTTCGCCATCGTCTCACCAGTCCCCCCCCACGCCTACTTCCGCCCCGACGACAAGCTCCCCTACATGCACCCCTCCCCAGAGTCCGAAACCCGCCCCTGGGAGCATCGAGCCGTGGTGCCTTTGGAGGAGATGGGAGGGGGGGTGAGAAAGTACGAGGTCTGGTGCAGGTGAGTGAGTGAGTGAGTGAGCCTTCTCGTGGGGTTGTGTGGGTGAGATTTTTTCAGGCCTTTTCCTGAGACTGCATGCTCTATAGCTTGACACTCTTGAAAGCACTATGTAAGATGACTTTTGAGTGACTTGAAAACCGTCTGGGTAGCTTGCAAATACAAGATCTGGTGGAGGCTCACTCTTGAATTGAGAGCATGGTGGGGTGGCCGAGGAAAGGCCTGGTGTTAATGGGGGCAAAGCCCATCTTCCCTCTCTTTCCGTGCCCTCGCTTATGAAATATTTACAGTAAACATCCACAGCCTTGTTACTCATGCTCATCCCATGCGATAGTTCCCCCATCCAGGCACACACAACCTCCAAGCACATGGCAACAGTGGGGCATCCCCATCCTCATCGCTCACTTCCAGTGCCCCTCATAGTAAACACCATTTGTGATCGACCTTCTTGTGCCCCACCCTCCATCCAGGCAAACACAGCCTCCCAACACACACATGGCAACAGAGGGGCATCCCGATCCTCATCGCCCTCGTCACACTCCACTTCGTGCACAGTAGAAACTATACGGCATGCCCTCCTCCTGTTGCTCCCGCCCTTCCAGGCACACACAGCCTCCCAACACATGGCAGCAGTGGGGCATCCCCATCCTCATTGCCCTCTTCGCCCTCCTTCTCGTGGTGCTCGTGTTGGCGGCTGCATACCTGCAGCGGAGCAAGTTCCTGCAGACCCAGCAGCAGACGGCAGAGGCGGATAGGCTGAGACGGGAGGCAGATGAAGCAGAGGCGTCAAAGAGCATGTTTGTGGCGTGCATGTCCCATGAGCTGCGGACGCCCATGGTTGGGATTATTGGTAAGAGTTTGACGGTACACTGTTGCATTCCTCCTGTTTTTGAGTGTACCGCACATGTCGCATGAGCTGCAGACGCCACCAGGCATGATTGACTCATCCCATCTTGCCGACCTGCTAATGGCCAGGGCATCAGCAAGAGATGCACTGCATCTGGTCAACTGTGTGTTTCTCTCAACTCCATACCTGCACCCTTCTGCTTCCCACCCACTCTGTCTCTCCATCCCACATCCCCCTTCCAGGCATGCTCGATGCTCTAGCAGACATGGGCCTCAACTCCTCCCAGCTAGCAGACCTGCTAATGGCCGGGGCATCGGCAAGAGATGCACTGCATCTGGTCAACCACGTGTTGGACCTGGCGAAGCTGGAGGCAGGCAAGGCGGTGGTGGATGAGACGGTGATTGATGTGCGGGAGTGGCTTCGTACAGTTTTGGACTGGCACGCGGAGGCAGCGAGTTCCAAAGGCATTGAATGTGAGTGGCTGATGATTGAATGTGTGTTGATGACTAGTGAGGAGTGTTAGAAAGGGAATGCACTGCGCCCTCCAAGGGGTGGCCTTTTTTGGTCAAGTAGAACGGCTAAACTCATGTAGAACGCGATGTGTTCGTGGCACAAGAACGTGTGTGGTCGAAACTCTTCCAACTCTTGCACAAGTAAACATTCTTTGGAGCTTATCAGCATTGTCTCTAGCGTTGTGTAACATCTTGAGCTGTCGCAGGGGCGCCGCTGTCACATTGTTCTTAACATGCCTTATGTGTCTCATTCCAATGGCATGTGTATGCCCAATGTACCATGCCATGCCCTCATTCTCACTTTCATACATTGGAAACTTTCACCCTAATTCCTCCCATGCAGTGAGCGGCATTGTGGGAGACGACTGCCCCACGCATGTCATTGTGGACCCCATGCATCTCGGAAGCATGGTCAAGGAGATCACAGGTGGGCTCAAATTTGAGGGTGGGGTGTGTTGAAATAACTGGATACGCGATGTGTGCATGTGACGATAACTGCCCCTCGCATGTCATTGTGGAGCCCATGCACTTCAGCAACATGGCTAGGGAGCTCACAAAATGTTGTAGTAACAATAGACTCCAATGTGACTTCAGTGAAAGGCTGAGCGCAAAGACCGATCTCTGCAGCGGCTTCAATCAACATGATAGTGTTCCGATCACAGTCCTAAATGATGCGTTATAACTTGAATTTGGAGGGTCTTAATGTTTTCTACGATTAGAAAGTTGAATCACCTTGATTCCATAAAGAAAAGATAGTGTGTTAGTAGTTTGAACGAACGGCAGTATGGCAGCGATTATAATCATAGAGCACAACCTTCAAAAAAATATGGGCTGGAAATGACTCATAGCTTTTCAAACCACAAGGAAGTTCCGGGAAAATAGAGCAGCGTCACTCAAATTCACATACCACAAAGGCTCTAAGCCTTCACCATGAAATAATCCATGGAAGCTTGCTGCACACACGTGTGACATGCATTATGTGACGTTTGATACCCGACAGTTTAGAATACGCTCACGACTCACAAATGGTGACGTAACAAGCAATTAGCGAAGACTCGCTAACGTCTCAACACGCACGTTTGACTCGATCGTCATTCACACGCTCATGTAAGCATGCAGTACATGATGTTATGCTCGTATATCATGTCATTCCATGCAAACATTCGCACACTCACAAAGACGACAAGGAGAGTGCAAACCATGAGGTTGCACCCCAAGGTACACTACGACTGATGAAGGGGAGGCGGTTTTCTATGTGTGAAATATGTGAAGTGGGTGGGTTGTGTGACGGTAACTGCCTCACGCTTGTCATTGTGGACTAATGCATCTCGGCACCATGGTCAAGAAGATCACAGGTGCGCTCGCGGTTGAGAGTGGTGATGTGCGTTGGTGGGATGATATGTCGCGTCTGAACTCCATGCACCTCGGCACCATGGGCAAGGAGACCACAGGTGAGGTGAGCCCCAGGCTGAGGCTCTGCGTGAGTGGTGGGTGGGTTGATGGGGGCAGAAACCGCCCCACGCATGCCATTGTGGACCCTTTGCATCTGGGCAGCATGGTTAAGGAGATCACACGTGACCTGAAACCTGCTGCTTTATGAAGGATGACCCTCACGTGTTCCGCATCTGGTTACTTAACCACTTCAAGTTACCACTTCTGGTTACCAATTTCAGTTACCACTTCCTCGGTTGCGTTTCAGATAACGCGGTCAAGTTCACGACACAAGGCCGTGTGACAGTGCGGGTGTCGCTGGTGCCGCAAGGGACAAGCTTGCAAGACACCCTTTGTTACCAGGGTAAGGTTGTTGTGAGTGGTTGGCTGTAGCGTTGGTGGCGTTTCTTCATGCTCATGTTCAAGCTCATTCATGCTTGCTCGTGCTCATACACACTCTCTATCATCAAATCACCTTGCCTTGGCCCCACGTCAGTCTCTCATTCGTCAATCTCCCGCCCTCTCTTCCCCCACAGCTTTCCCTTCCCACCTCTCCACCCGCACTGCCTCCACCTCTCCACCCGCACTCACTTCTCCGCTCCACGGTTCTATGTATATCCCAGGCCCTTCATTTTCACGGCCCTCAAAGCTCGTCTTTCTCTCTCCACGTTTTACCCGTCCACACCAGGCCTTTCGTCACCACGAGCGCCCACTGCTGCCACTGCCCATGGGCTCTCCGCCTGGCTTTGTTCTACCTGGCGCTGGTTGCTCGAGGTGGTGAGGGGAGAGCCAGCGGCATCAGCAGGAACAGCAGGCAGTGCCTGGGGGGAGGGCGGGCATGAGAGGAAGCATGGGAGTCAAGAGAGGAGGCCCACTCCAAAAGCAGGCAGGGGGCGTGGGAAAGGGCATGGGAGTGGACAAGAGAGGGGTGGAGAGCGGTGCATGCTGGTGCTGTCGTGTCAAGACTCGGGCTGCGGCCTTCCAGCGTCTCTCCACACTGCGAGCGGCACTCAAGGGCCGTCCTACTTCTCCCTCCTCGTGAGCTTTCTACTTCTCTTTCCGACTCAACTCCATGACTCCATGTTGAGACTTGATCTGCGGCTACCCTCCCGTACCCTCCCCTCCCCTCCCCTCCCCTCCCCTCCCCTCCTCTTTCCTCCTCTCCCTTCCTCTCCCTTCTCCTCCCCTCCCCTCCCCTTCTTTCCACGCCCCTCCCTTTGCATGCTCTTCCTTCCCCTTTCCTCCTCTTCCCTCCCCTCCCCTTCCCTCCCCTTCCCCCCTCGTTTCCCTCGCTCACTCGTCTTCTCTCATGGTTTTCCTCACACAGCTCCCCACTCTCTCACATTGTCTTCTCACACGCCCCATCTCTTCCTACCCTGCTGGTCTGGAAATGTTTAGATTTGAACAAGAACAGGCCCATGTCTCACACGCCCATCCCTCACACGCCCATTCCTCACACGCCCTGGTCGCCAACATTGTTTGTTCTCACTCACTTGTCACCTCGCTGATTCCATCTCTGCTGCATTTACGCACCCAGGAATCGCGGGAGCAAAGAGAAGCAAGAAGTGGGTCAGGGGCAGCACTGGGGCTCGTGTTGGTGCAGCAAACGGTGAGTCCCTCAAACACCTGCTCATGCTCTTCGGTTCTTTCAGATTGGAGTAACCATGATGTTTACAAGGCAAAGTAGACATTTCTGTTATTTTTTCACTCCAATCAGCACGGATTGAAGATCACGATGCTGCTGCCGTTGCTCTCTTTGGCAGATGCACGCTTTTCATCTCCCTCCTCCTTCCCACTCCCTCCAGGTGGCTCTATTGAAGGGAGAGCTCGCCTTTGACTCACAGCCCGGGTGTGGAAGCACAGTTGCTTTCTCTGTGCCTGTAGCCATGCCCTCGTTACAAGAACACTGTCCAGAGGAACTGCAGTCAAGCAACCAGGAACCACAGCAGCAGCAAGAGAAGGATCAACCACAAGGGGAAGCCGTATGGCATGGTGAAGGGCAAATGGGTGGGTCAGGAGAATTTTCAGGTGCCTGCAGCAGTGGCCATGAGCATGACACGGAGTCAGGAGATTATTCAGGTGCCAGCAGCAGATGGATGCTGCTGCACAGCCAGGGGAGTGATCAGGCGGTTCAACACAGCCAGAGCCATCAGCAGATTCAGCAAGAACAGCAGCAGCAGCAGCAGCAGCAGCAGCAGCAGCAGCAAGAGCAGCAAGAGCAGCAGAACCAACAACAGCAGCAGCAGAACCAGCAAGGGCAGCAGCAGCAGCAGCAGCAGGGAGTGAGATCCTTTCAGCGAGGCCGGAGCGAGAGCGAGAAATCAAGTGTGTGCACAAGTGCGCGTGGGGGTGGGAGCGTGAGTGCAAGGTGTGAGCGATCCATCTCCCTGTGCGCATCTGGAACCACCACTGTTGCTACCGCTGGCATGGCCATGCGTGCAGGCATAGGTGTTGGTGCTGGTGCAGGTAATCGTGCTGGTAGTGTTCGTCTTGGTGGTGCGGCGGATGAGGCGGTGACGCGGGCGTGGGTGGGGGGGCTGCGAGTGCTGGTGGTGGACGACACGCCCGTCAACCTCCTCGTGGCCCGCCGCTCCCTCGCCCGCTGGGGCGCCCTTGTGACCACCGCCTCTCGTGGGGAGGAGGCAGTTGAGTTAATCGCTGCTGGAGTGGCGGAGGGGAGAGGGCAGGAGGAGGGGAGAGGCGAACGTGCTGTTGGGGAGGTGGCAAGAGGAGAGCATGGGGCGAGAGGAGAGCAGGAGGCAAGAGGGCAGGAGGAGGCACGTGCATCGTTGCAGCATGGCTTCGACTTGGTTCTCATGGACCTGCAGATGCCGGGCATGGACGGGTGAGTGGTTGTGAGTGGCTGTGAATAATGGGCATGGCTGTGTGAGTCATGAATGTGCATACTAAACCTATTCCCAGTGCGACCTGGTTCATAGCAAACTTGATTCCCCTCTGCTTGATGTCCCTTTTGTTTCTTCCTCCTGTTCATCCCTTCCTCTGTTCATCCCTTCCTCTGTTCATCCCTTCCTCTGTTCATCCCTTCCTCTGTTCATCCCTTCCTGCTGTTCATCCCTTTCCCCTGTTACTCTTGCCATGCCAGCTTTGCAGCAGCAGCAGCCATACGAGCCCTTGAAAGGAGAGTGGAGTTTGAATCAATTTCACGGGCACAGCAATCGCAGCAGCAGAGGCTGCAGCACACCCCTTCTGATCTGCCCGTCACACCCCTACAATTTTCAAGCCCTGCTGCTGCAGCAGCCGCCGCCGCCGCTGCTGCTGCTTCTGCTGCTGCTGCTGCTGGTGCGGCTGGTGTTGCCGCAACTGCTGATGCTGCAACTGCTAATGCTGCTTCTCCTGGTGCTGGGTGGCCCGTGTCTCTGCGGGTGCCCATAGTGGCTCTGACGGCAGACGTGGATCGCGGAGTGGTGCAGAGGTGTGCAGAGGGGGGGTTTGACGGTGTGCTGCAGAAGCCAGTGGATGCCCACCTGCTCGCTGCCCAACTCTCCCAAGTGCACACCCAAAGCGCACTCCTGCGGGCTGTGTCACAGCCGACTGTCGGTCCAGCTATGAACAGATATGACAGCTGCAGCAGACAGTGACCAAGCAGTCAATAACAGTCGAGACAGCTCGTAACAAATACTACCTGATGGCCGCTGACGCCCACCCTAAACCTTAAACCCGAAACCCTAAACCCATTTCCAGAGATCACTACTGCGGGTCCTGTCGCACTCCACTGTCAGTCACGCCACAAACAGATACAGATACGACAGATGCAGCAGCAGCGAATTATTGTACGGCTTAAAACTCACTTAAGCGGGCTGCTTTTTAGCCCACAGCCAGCCAAGCTACTGACAGATCCTACCACAGGTGGGGAGGGTTATGGAGAGCGTTTGTAAGATCTAAGAGAGCTCACAAGTTCGCAACACCGTCCGGTTGTTTCACTATGCCGAAGACCACTACCACCCACCTCTGACACGTTCGGCACGTGCAGCAGCCAATGACTCAGCAGCATTCAACTCTTTGAACAACATTTTCAAATAAAACGCTCGGGTTGTTTCACTATGTCTGACGACTGCCCCAACCTCTGACACATACGGCACGCGCAGCAGCCAGGGTTGGTATTGGACGCCACAAGACTTGGTCAGGTGGCTTCACTGTACCTGATGCCCACTGAAACTACTGACAAATACCCAGGCATGCCAAATCCTGCTGCTACTGCACTGGCTGATCATGTGGTACCAGCTAGACAGATTGTGCTACCTGCATTTCTTTCATGGTTTGTAATCAATGGTCTTAACCGACGTGCTGTCTGCATGGTTTAGCACACCAAACAAATGCTTTACTTGAGCCTAGCGCTGTGCTATTCACTTACCGTACAGCCTGGATCTTGTTGGTCCTGTGCTGGACGCTGTTTAGCCTGAACTTGTGACCAAACTAGTCAGGTGAATTTCATGGATTTGTCATTTGCCGTGCCGATAACTCCCTGTGTACGCCACCGGCACATCAAATTTAAGTTATCCTACGAGTTGGCTAGTTAAAACCGAAATATGGAATAGTGAACCCCGTCCCAGCTTGAAAGGGTCTTCCAGAGTGGGTTTGCAAAGCACTGTTTCAAACATTTCGTGTGTGCAGATCGAAGCCATTTGATTGGCTCCCGCCAAAAACGAAATCTTTGGGCCTTACACAAGGAGTCGCCTTCAACATGATGCACCCGCACGACGGCTGCACGGCGATCATTGCGATCGTTGGGTCCAACTCCAACTTCAAGCTGGACCTGGGTTCCACTACTTCTTTCCGCTCTAGTCTCTAGTTTAGCCAAGCTTAGAATAGCTGAAAGCGTAGGCATTTTTGCCTAGGCAACTACCATTTTTATAAATTTAATCCTCATCCTTCTATTCGTGGCCTAGTGGCGAGGAATCTTACGCGCCGCGTAGCGACACTTGCCTTGAGATTATTCGGCTGAACGCGCTCGCCGCCGAAACGCCCTTTCGTCGCCCTCTCTCTCGCCCCTCTCTTCCCGTCGCGCTCTCTCTATCCGCGCTCTTCCCGTCGCCTCCCTTCCCATCGCGCTCTCTCTCCCCCCTCCCTTCCCATCGCGCTCTCTCTCTCCGCTCCCTTCCCGTCGCCCTCTCTCCCGTCGCCCTCTCTCCCGTCGCCCTCTCTCTCCCCCCTCCCCTCCCATCGCGCTCTCTCTCTCCGCTCCCTTCCCGTCGCCCTCTCTCCCGTCGCCCTCTCTCCCATCGCCCTCGCTCTCTCCTTCGCTCTGTCCCGTCGCCCTCTCTCCCGTCACCCTCTCTCCCGTCGCCCTCTCTCCCATCGCCCTCGCTCTCTCTTTTGCTCTGTCCCGTCGCCCTCTCCCCCGTCGCCCTCTCTCCCGTCGCCCTCTATCTCTCACGTCGCCCGCGCTCTGTCCCGTCGCCCCCGCTCTCTCCCGTCGCCTCGCGAAATTTTCTGCCGTCTCGTAGTAATATCGACCTTGCTATCCCCCTTTCCTGAAGCTCAAAGTATTAAGTGACGATACTTTTAGCTGCTGGCGGGGGTGGGGTTAATCACCTGACGCTAAATACTTATGCAGCCAACTAGTTCTTCTATGTTTTCTTATTATAATAATAGGGACCCTAATTTCGTACAGATTTACCTCCCCTCCCGTCGATCCCTTCAGGTCCTTGTTCCCGTTCCCTTGCTCTCTCCCCTCCTTTTCTACCGCCCTTGGTCTCTCCCCTCCATTTCCGTCGCCCGTGCTCTCTCCCCTCTGTTCCCGTCGCCCTCGCGTTCTCTCCCTCCCTTTCCATTGCCCTCGCTCTCTTCCCTCCCCATCCGTCTCCCTTGCTCTCTCCCCTCCCTTTCCATCGCCCTCGCTCCACCTCATCTGACCCTCCCCCATGCCCCTCCCATCTCCCTACCATTCCGCAGATTTTGCTCACGCATCTCTCTTCCCGCGTCCTCGTTTCTGCTGCACTAAGTGTCTCTTCTCTCGTGCCCTGAAATTCTCTGTTTTTTTCGCTTCTTGTTTTCCCCATATTGTTATCGCCTCCCTTGCAGGCCCATGTCTAACGCATTTGCTTTGTGTGCGTTGGGCTTGCTTTGCATGAGTTGGACGTGCTTCACAATCCGAATTTGGCACTGGATATGAATGAGACTTGCGCATCGCAATGTTTTGAGCGACGCATTTGCACATGCTTGCGACGATTTTGTTTGAGTTGAAGTTTGGAAACTCGATCAGCATCATATGCGCTTGGAAAAAAAAATAAAGAAAAGCACTTCAACTTTCAAGTGGACCCAACTAGAAGGGGGGGGTCACTATTTTAGCTGCTGGCTTTAAAGCATTCCATAGAAATCTAAACTGCAATCAACACCAGTGTGCACCAATCCTGCTGTGCATGCAATGCAACTGCTCCACCTCGTAACCCTCTTGTTCCGGCCTAGGGCTTTACCATACATCATCATCATCGCATTCACATACTCATACACCACCCAGTCCTCCTCACCAGCCGCATCTGCGCCATGACCTGCTGCTGCATCATTCGTGGCGAATGTATGCATCCTCCTCACTGTCAACATGACCTCCACTCCATCGTGAGCATTTTTTGTCACCCTCTCCACTCGCGCCTTCAGTTGCTGCCTTGTAGATCGCATTCACTTCATCTTCCGCCACGATGGACATTCTCCTCTGCCTCGTCAGCTGCTTTCAGCGGGCCAGTTGGGTCACCTCGCCACCACCTGTTCAGCCAGCGCAATGCCTGCAGGGTCTGGCATGTCTATGGTACCAGTCAGCAGTCAGCTCAGGGTTACAGTAGGGTTACAGTAGGGTTACGTATCTGTTGTAAAGCACATGGAAGCATTTTGAGAGTCATGGAGGCACATGGCTTCGAGTCGTGAAAACATCACCGGCTGCTTCACGTGCCATTTGTGTCAGTTGTGGGAGTGTGGGAGTGGTCAGGGGATGTAATGAAACAACCTGAGTGGATCTTTGAGTCGACTCAATAAACATCACCAGCAGCTGCATGTGCCGTGTGTCAGTAGTGGGAGTGTGGGAGTGGTTTGAAGATGTGGTCAAACAACCCGAGTGGATTATCAAGTCGAGTCTAAGGGCGTGTTCCTACGCTCTTATCAGGCAAACCTCTTGTCAGCCTTGCCTGGTAAAAGTAGCGAGGGTTTTTGGGTTTAGGGAATTTTCAGGGGGAAAAGTAGCGAGCTTGATAAGAGGTTGCCCTGATAAGGGGCCGTAGGAACACGCCCTAAAACATCACTGGCAGCTTCACGTGCCGTATGTGTGTGTCAGTACTGGGAGTGTGTGAGTGTGGGACTGCTGTGAAGATGTAGTAGTGAAACAACCCAAAGCGTTATGTGAGCTTTCTTGAATACTATCGACTGCCGGATTACTGACTGCCGGATTATTGGCCGCCGGATTATTGACTGCTGGATTATTGACTGCCGGATTGTTGACTGCTGGATTATTGACTGCCGGATTGTTTGACTGCCAGATTATTGTCTGCCGGATTATTGACTGCCGGATTATTGACTGCCGGATTATTGACTGCCGGATTATTGACTGCCAGATTATTGACTGCCGGATTATTGACTGCCAGATTACTGACTGCCAGATTACTGACTGCTGCATCTGTCGTGTCTGTTTATGGTTCGACTGACAGTAGGGTGTGACACGCCCCCGTGGGAAAGACCTTTGGAACTGCATTTGGGAGAGGTGGCTTTTCAGTCAACACTTTCAAATATCATTGACTGCTGCACCTGTCGTGCCTGTTTATGGTTCGACTAACAGCGGGGTGTGACACGGCCCGGGGGAAGGACCTCTGGGGGTGCATTTGGGAGAGATGGGCGGCGAGCAGGTGGGCATCCACTGGCTTCTGCAGCACACCGTCAAACCCCCCCTCTGCACACCTCTGCACCACTCCGCGATCCACGTCTGCTGTCAGAGCCACTATGGGCAGCCGCAGAGACATGGGCTGAGCAGCAGGAGCAGTTGCACTTGCCACTATGGGAACCCGCAGAGATATGGGCCAGCCAACAGTGGCAGCAGCAGGATTTGAAGCTTCTAGGAGAGGGACAGGCAGAACAGAAGGGGCTTGATGATGCATCGGCTGCTGCAATCGCTGTGCCCGTGAAATGGCTTCAAAATTGACCCTCCTTTCAAGGGATCGTATGGCTGCTGCTGCTGCGAAGCTGCCACGGCAAGGAGGGAAGGCATGGAGGGGAGGAACAGGAGAGACATCAAGGGAGAAGGATTAGGTTCAATGCCCCACCCTCCTCTCAAGGGATCGTATGGCTGCTGCTTTGAACTGCCACGGCAAGGAGGCAACAGGAACCGGAATGGAGGAAGCAGGAACGGAATGGAAGGGAGGAACAGGGGGAAGAGAGGAGCAGATTGGGCAATAGGGGGAGGGGGGTTAGGCTTGCAACAGACCAGGTTCATATCGGGCAAGTGTTACGTACTCACGTTCCTGAGTCACCAACATTCACAACCCACCCATCCATGCCCACCACTCACCACCACTCACAACCACTCACCCGTCCATGCCTGGCATCTGCAGGTCCATGAGAACCAAGTCGAAGCCATGCTGCAATGATAACACACCCGTCTCCTCCTGCCCTTTTGCCTCCTCCTCCCCTCTCGCCTCCTCCTGCCTCCTCGCCTCTTGCTGCCCTCTCGCCTCCTGCAGCCCTTTCCCCTCCTCCCCAAGTGTTTCCTCCCCTCTCTCCTCCTCCTCGTGGAAGGCGGTGGAGACGAGGTCAGCAGTGATCAACTCAATCGCCTCCTCCCCGTGGGCGGCAGTGGTGACTCGGGCGCCCCAGCGGGCGAGGGAGCGGCGGGCCACGAGGAGGTTGACGGGCGTGTCGTCCACCACCAGCACTCGCAGCCCGCCCACCCACGCCCGCGTCACCGCCTCATCCGCCGCACCACCAGCAGCAGAAGCACCAGCACCAGCTGCACCTATGCCTGCATGCATGCCCATGCAAGCAGCAATAGTGGTGGTTGCAGATGCACACAGTGAGACCGACTGCTCGTACCTCACACTCACACGACCACTACCAACCACACTGACACTCGATTTCTCGCTCTCTCTCTCTGGCCTTCCTGAAAGGGTCTCACTCCCTGTTTCTGCTGTTGGTTCTGCAGGTGGCTCTGGTTTTGTTGGGCCACCTGAATCCTGATCGCTCGCTTGGCTGTGCAGCTGCAGGCATCTGCTACAGGAATCTGAACAATCTCCTGAATCTGTCTCATGCTCATGGAAACTGCTGGAGGCACCTGAAAAATTACCTGACCCACTCATTTGCCTCTCACCATGCCATATGGCCTTCCCCTGATGCTGCTGCTGCTGCTGCTGTTCATGCTGCTGTGGTTCCTGATTGCTTGACTTCGGCTCTTTTGCACAGTGTTCTTGTAACGAGGGCACAGCTACAGGCACAGAGAAAGTAACTGTGCTGCCACACCCAGGCTGTGAGTCAAAGGCGAGCTCTCCCTTCATGAAAGTCACCTGGGGGTGAGTGGGGAGGAGGAGGGAGATGAAAAAGCGTGCTATTGTAATTCATGTAGATAGGAGCCGGAGCTCGGATTGAGAAGCAGCCGCTGTGGCAGCAGCAGCAGCGTCGCCGACAGCGGCAGCAGCAGCAGCAGCAGCAGCAGCAGCAGCAGCAGCAGCAGCAGCAGCAGCAGCAACTCGGAGTCGGTAATGCACTGAGAATGAGGAATGAAGAGGTGTTGGAGGGACTCACCGTTTGCTGCACCAACACGAGCCTGAGGGCTGCCACGGATCTGTGCTCATGAAGAAGGGCAGCAGTAGGCAAGGTCGCCTTTAGCAAAGGGACGATAGTCAAACAGTGAAAAAAAGTAACCCTCGAAAAAAGTTGATTAAGATCCGAACGTACAACTCAGTTCAAACTCTAGACGAAAGCAAACATGTTTCGGCTTTGCACGGGGATCATACCCGCTAGGCCTTCATCAGTGCAAGAGTTCAAAGTGAAAGAGCGAACAAGCAAGGGGTCTTAAAGAACACCCAAGCTTCGAGATCTACACAGGGAAATCCTACCCCGGGCGCGTAACTAGATAAGAAATGCGCCAACTAGACACAAAAGAAAATTCCTAGGTGTCCAGTCACTCTTCGGGTTTGTCTTCGGCAGTCTTGGAATTGGGTGGTGGTAACCTCGCGCGAACCAGGCACTGTTGCACGTTACGTGCACACTTCCAAGCAACAAGAATTCGATCAATATAAAAATTGCGGGTAGAGAGACGACTTTTTGAGGCGCCTCAAAAGTTTTGAGACGCCTCAAAAGTCGGTAATACACTGAGAATGAGGAATGAAGAGGTGTTGGAGGGACTCACCGTTTGCTGCACCAACACGAGCCTGAGGGCTGCCCCTGACCCACTCCTCTTCCTCTCTTTGTCTTTGAGACGCCTCAAACATTGGACTTGGTATCAAAGTGTAAGTGACTATTGAAGTTCGATCAACTCACTGTTTGGTGCACCAACACGAGGCCGAGGGCTGCTCCTGAACCACTCCTCTCTTCCCTTTGCTCCCGCGATTCCTGGAAGAGTCAAGAAAACAAAATGGGATCGGAGTGTGAAAGAGCGTGAGAATGACACTTGTTGAACATTACACTTGTGAGAGATGGGTGAGATGGACGAGCAGGGTGGGAAGAGATGGAACGTGTGAGAAAAGAGTGTGAGAGTGTGCGGGAATGTGTGAGGGATTGCATGAGAGGCAAGGAACAAGAGAGGGAGCTGGACGGGGGGACGGGAAGGGAAGATTCGGAAACAGGAGGGAAGGGGAGGGGAGGGGAAAAAAGGCGAGGGTAGGGGAGGGGAGGGGACGGAAGGGGAAGAGAGGGAAGATGCTTCTGGAAGGAATGAGGAAGCGAGGGAGGGTGGGAGATGGAGACGACAAAGGGGAGAAGGGGGGGAGGAGAAGATGGAGTGGCAGGTGGGGTTCCCGCAGAGGAGGCAATGTGACAACACGAGAGAGAATAAAGGATGAAGAATTCCGTGAGATGCTGCCCGTGAGATGATGAACCAATGAGATGAAGAACCAATGAGATGATGAACCAATGAGATGAAGAACCAATGAGATGAAGAACCAATGAGATGAAGAACCAATGAGATGAAGAACCAATGAGATGAAGAACCAATGAGATGATGCCTTTCACCCGTTTGTAAAGCAACACTGCCTGCGGGCTTGTAAGCCCAGAAAGGCAGCATTTGAGTCCCACCACGCCAAGCGGACCCCGCAGCTGCCACCAGGGACGCTGGAAAAAGAACAAGGCTCACCAGCAGGGACGCTGGAAGAAGAACAAGGCTCACCAGCAGGGACGCTGGAAGAAGAACAAGGCTCACCAGCAGGGACGCTGGAAGAAGAACAAGGCTCACGAGCAGGGAAGCTGGAAGAAGAACAAGGCTCACCAGCAGGGACGCTGGAAGAAGAACAAGGCTCACCAGCAGGCACGCTGGAAGAAGAACAAGGCTCACCAGCAGGGACGCTGGAAGAAGAACAAGGCTCACCAGCAGGGACGCTGGAAGAAGAACAGGGCTCACCAGCAGGGACGCTGGAAGAAGAACAAGGCTCACCAGCAGGGACGCTGGAAGAAGAACAAGGCTCACCAGCAGGGACGCTGGAAGAAGAACAAGGCTCACGAGCAGGGACGCTGGAAGAAGAACAAGGCTCACCAGCAGGGACGCTGGAAGAAGAACAAGGCTCACCAGCAGGGACGCTGGAAGAAGAGCAAGGCTCACGAGCAGGGTCGCTGGAAGAAGAACAAGGCTCACCAGCAGGGACGCTGGAAGAAGAACAAGGCTCACCAGCAGGGACGCTGGAAGAAGAACAAGGCTCACCAGCAGGGACGCTGGAAGAAAAACAAGGCTCACCAGCAGGGACGCTGGAAGAAGAACAAGGCTCACGAGCAGGGTCGCTGGAAGAAGAACAAGGCTCATCAGCAGGGACGCTGGAAGAAGAACAAGGCTCACCAGCAGGGACGCTGGAAGAAGAACAAGGCTCACCAGCAGGGACGCTGGAAGAAGAACAAGGCTCACCAGCAGGGACGCTGGAAGAAGAACAAGGCTCACGAGCACGGTCGCTGGAAGAAGAACAAGGCACACCAGCAGGGACGCTGGAAGAAGAACAAGGCTCACCAGCAGGGACGCTGGAAGAAGAACAAGGCTCACCAGCAGGGACGCTGGAAGAAGAACAAGGCTCACCAGCAGGGACGCTGGAAGAAGAACAAGGCTCACCAGCAGGGACGCTGGAAGAAGAACAAGGCTCACCAGCAGGGACGCTGGAAGAAGAACAAGGCTCACCAGCAGGGACGCTGGAAGAAGAACAAGGCTCACCAGCAGGGACGCTGGAAGAAGAACAAGGCTCACGAGCAGGGACGCTGGAAGAAGAACAAGGCTCACCAGCAGGGACGCTGGAAGAAGAACAAGGCTCACCAGCAGGGACGCTGGAAGAAGAACAAGGCTCACCAGCAGGGACGCTGGAAGAAGAACAAGGCTCACCAGCAGGCACGCTGGAAGAAGAACAAGGCTCACCAGCAGGGACGCTGGAAGAAGAACAAGGCTAACGAGCAGGGACACTGGAAGAAGAACAAGGCTCACCAGCAGGGACGCTGGAAGAAGAACAAGGCTCACCAGCAGGGACGCTGGAAGAAGAACAAGGCTCACCAGCAGGGACGCTGGAAGAAGAACAAGGCTCACGAGCAGGGTCGCTGGAAGAAGAACAAGGCTCACCAGCAGGGACGCTGGAAGAAGAACAAGGCTCACCAGCAGGGACGCTGGAAGAAGAACAAGGCTCACCAGCAGGGACGCTGGAAGAAAAACAAGGCTCACCAGCAGGGACGCTGGAAGAAGAACAAGGCTCACGAGCAGGGTCGCTGGAAGAAGAACAAGGCACACCAGCAGGGACGCTGGAAGAAGAACAAGGCTCACCAGCAGGGACGCTGGAAGAAGAACAAGGCTCACCAGCAGGGACGCTGGAAGAAGAACAAGGCTCACCAGCAGGCACGCTGGAAGAAGAACAAGGCTCACCAGCAGGGACGCTGGAAGAAGAACAAGGCTCACCAGCAGGGACGCTGGAAGAAGAACAAGGCTCACCAGCAGGGACGCTGGAAGAAGAACAAGGCTCACCAGCAGGCACGCTGGAAGAAGAACAAGGCTCACCAGCAGGGACGCTGGAAGAAGAACAAGGCTCACCAGCAGGGACGCTGGAAGAAGAACAAGGCTCACCAGCAGGGACGCTGGAAGAAGAACAAGGCTCACCAGCAGGGACGCTGGAAGAAGAACAAGGCTCACCAGCAGGGACGCTGGAAGAAGAACAAGGCTCACCAGCAGGGACGCTGGAAGAAGAACAAGGCTCACCAGCAGGGACGCTGTAAGAAGAACAAGGCTCACCAGCAGGGACGCTGGAAGAAGAACAAGGCTCACCAGCAGGGACGCTGGAAGAAGAACAGGGCTCACCAGCAGGGACGCTGGAAGAAGAACAAGGCTCACCAGCAGAGACGCTGGAAGAAGAACAAGGCTCACCAGCAGGGACGCTGGAAGAAGAACAAGGCTCACGAGCAGGGACGCTGGAAGAAGAACAAGGCTCACCAGCAGGGACGCTGGAAGAAGAACAAGGCTCACCAGCAGGGTCGCTGGAAGAAGAGCAAGGCTCACGAGCAGGGTCGCTGGAAGAAGAACAAGGCTCACCAGCAGGGACGCTGGAAGAAGAACAAGGCTCACCAGCAGGGACGCTGGAAGAAGAACAAGACTCACCAGCAGGGACGCTGGAAGAAAAACAAGGCTCACCAGCAGGGACGCTGGAAGAAGAACAAGGCTCACGAGCAGGGACGCTGGAAGAAGAACAAGGCTCACCAGCAGGGACGCTGGAAGAAGAACAAGGCTCACCAGCAGGGACGCTGGAAGAAGAACAAGGCTCACCAGCAGGGACGCTGGAAGAAGAACAAGGCTCACCAGCAGGGACGCTGGAAGAAGAACAAGGCTCACGAGCACGGTCGCTGGAAGAAGAACAAGGCACACCAGCAGGGACGCTGGAAGAAGAACAAGGCTCACCAGCAGGGACGCTGGAAGAAGAACAAGGCTCACCAGCAGGGACGCTGGAAGAAGAACAAGGCTCACCAGCAGGGACGCTGGAAGAAGAACAAGGCTCACCAGCAGGGACGCTGGAAGAAGAACAAGGCTCACCAGCAGGGACGCTGGAAGAAGAACAAGGCTCACCAGCAGGGACGCTGGAAGAAGAACAAGGCTCACCAGCAGGGACGCTGGAAGAAGAACAAGGCTCACCAGCAGGGACGCTGGAAGAAGAACAAGGCTCACCAGCAGGGACGCTGGAAGAAGAACAAGGCTCACCAGCAGGGACGCTGGAAGAAGAACAAGGCTCACGAGCAGGGACGCTGGAAGAAGAACAAGGCTCACCAGCAGGGACGCTGGAAGAAGAACAAGGCTCACCAGCAGGGACGCTGGAAGAAGAACAAGGCTCACCAGCAGGGACGCTGGAAGAAGAACAAGGCTCACCAGCAGGCACGCTGGAAGAAGAACAAGGCTCACCAGCAGGGACGCTGGAAGAAGAACAAGGCTAACGAGCAGGGACACTGGAAGAAGAACAAGGCTCACCAGCAGGGACGCTGGAAGAAGAACAAGGCTCACCAGCAGGGACGCTGGAAGAAGAACAAGGCTCACCAGCAGGGACGCTGGAAGAAGAACAAGGCTCACGAGCAGGGTCGCTGGAAGAAGAACAAGGCTCACCAGCAGGGACGCTGGAAGAAGAACAAGGCTCACCAGCAGGGACGCTGGAAGAAGAACAAGGCTCACCAGCAGGGACGCTGGAAGAAAAACAAGGCTCACCAGCAGGGACGCTGGAAGAAGAACAAGGCTCACGAGCAGGGTCGCTGGAAGAAGAACAAGGCACACCAGCAGGGACGCTGGAAGAAGAACAAGGCTCACCAGCAGGGACGCTGGAAGAAGAACAAGGCTCACCAGCAGGGACGCTGGAAGAAGAACAAGGCTCACCAGCAGGCACGCTGGAAGAAGAACAAGGCTCACCAGCAGGGACGCTGGAAGAAGAACAAGGCTCACCAGCAGGGACGCTGGAAGAAGAACAAGGCTCACCAGCAGGGACGCTGGAAGAAGAACAAGGCTCACCAGCAGGCACGCTGGAAGAAGAACAAGGCTCACCAGCAGGGACGCTGGAAGAAGAACAAGGCTCACCAGCAGGGACGCTGGAAGAAGAACAAGGCTCACCAGCAGGGACGCTGGAAGAAGAACAAGGCTCACCAGCAGGGACGCTGGAAGAAGAACAAGGCTCACCAGCAGGGACGCTGGAAGAAGAACAAGGCTCACCAGCAGGGACGCTGGAAGAAGAACAAGGCTCACCAGCAGGGACGCTGGAAGAAGAACAAGGCTCACCAGCAGGGACGCTGGAAGAAGAACAAGGCTCACCAGCAGGGACGCTGGAAGAAGAACAGGGCTCACCAGCAGGGACGCTGGAAGAAGAACAAGGCTCACCAGCAGAGACGCTGGAAGAAGAACAAGGCTCACCAGCAGGGACGCTGGAAGAAGAACAAGGCTCACGAGCAGGGACGCTGGAAGAAGAACAAGGCTCACCAGCAGGGACGCTGGAAGAAGAACAAGGCTCACCAGCAGGGACGCTGGAAGAAGAGCAAGGCTCACGAGCAGGGTCGCTGGAAGAAGAACAAGGCTCACGAGCAGGGACGCTGGAAGAAGAACAAGGCTCACCAGCAGGGACGCTGGAAGAAGAACAAGGCTCACCAGCAGGGACGCTGGAAGAAGAACAAGGCTCACCAGCAGGGACGCTGGAAGAAGAACAAGGCTCACCAGCAGGGACGCTGGAAGAAGAACAAGGCTCACGAGCACGGTCGCTGGAAGAAGAACAAGGCACACCAGCAGGGACGCTGGAAGAAGAACAAGGCTCACCAGCAGGGACGCTGGAAGAAGAACAAGGCTCACCAGCAGGGACGCTGGAAGAAGAACAAGGCTCACCAGCAGGGACGCTGGAAGAAGAACAAGGCTCACCAGCAGGGACGCTGGAAGAAGAACAAGGCTCACCAGCAGGGACGCTGGAAGAAGAACAAGGCTCACCAGCAGGGACGCTGGAAGAAGAACAAGGCTCACCAGCAGGGACGCTGGAAGAAGAACAAGGCTCACCAGCAGGCACGCTGGAAGAAGAACAAGGCTCACCAGCAGGGACGCTGGAAGAAGAACAAGGCTAACGAGCAGGGACACTGGAAGAAGAACAAGGCTCACCAGCAGGGACGCTGGAAGAAGAACAAGGCTCACCAGCAGGGACGCTGGAAGAAGAACAAGGCTCACCAGCAGGGACGCTGGAAGAAGAACAAGGCTCACCAGCAGGCACGCTGGAAGAAGAACAAGGCTCACCAGCAGGGACGCTGGAAGAAGAACAAGGCTAACGAGCAGGGACACTGGAAGAAGAACAAGGCTCACGAGCAGGGACGCTGGAAGAAGAACAAGGCTCACCAGCAGGGACGCTGGAAGAAGAACAAGGCTCACCAGCAGGGACGCTGGAAGAAGAACAAGGCTCACCAGCAGGGACGCTGGAAGAAGAACAAGGCTCACCAGCAGGGACGCTGGAAGAAGAACAAGGCTCACGAGCAGGGTCGCTGGAAGAAGAACAAGGCACACCAGCAGGGACGCTGGAAGAAGAACAAGGCTCACCAGCAGGGACGCTGGAAGAAGAACAAGGCTCACCAGCAGGGACGCTGGAAGAAGAACAAGGCTCACCAGCAGGCACGCTGGAAGAAGAACAAGGCTCACCAGCAGGGACGCTGGAAGAAGAACAAGGCTCACCAGCAGGGACGCTGGAAGAAGAACAAGGCTCACCAGCAGGGACGCTGGAAGAAGAACAAGGCTCACCAGCAGGGACGCTGGAAGAAGAACAAGGCTCACGAGCACGGTCGCTGGAAGAAGAACAAGGCACACCAGCAGGGACGCTGGAAGAAGAACAAGGCTCACCAGCAGGGACGCTGGAAGAAGAACAAGGCTCACCAGCAGGGACGCTGGAAGAAGAACAAGGCTCACCAGCAGGGACGCTGGAAGAAGAACAAGGCTCACCAGCAGGGACGCTGGAAGAAGAACAAGGCTCACCAGCAGGGACGCTGGAAGAAGAACAAGGCTCACCAGCAGGGACGCTGGAAGAAGAACAAGGCTCACCAGCAGGGACGCTGGAAGAAGAACAAGGCTCACGAGCAGGGTCGCTGGAAGAAGAACAAGGCTCACCAGCAGGGACGCTGGAAGAAGAACAAGGCTCACCAGCAGGGACGCTGGAAGAAGAACAAGGCTCACCAGCAGGGACGCTGGAAGAAAAACAAGGCTCACCAGCAGGGACGCTGGAAGAAGAACAAGGCTCACGAGCAGGGTCGCTGGAAGAAGAACAAGGCACACCAGCAGGGACGCTGGAAGAAGAACAAGGCTCACCAGCAGGGACGCTGGAAGAAGAACAAGGCTCACCAGCAGGGACGCTGGAAGAAGAACAAGGCTCACCAGCAGGCACGCTGGAAGAAGAACAAGGCTCACCAGCAGGGACGCTGGAAGAAGAACAAGGCTCACCAGCAGGGACGCTGGAAGAAGAACAAGGCTCACCAGCAGGGACGCTGGAAGAAGAACAAGGCTCAACAGCAGGCACGCTGGAAGAAGAACAAGGCTCACCAGCAGGGACGCTGGAAGAAGAACAAGGCTCACCAGCAGGGACGCTGGAAGAAGAACAAGGCTCACCAGCAGGGACGCTGGAAGAAGAACAAGGCTCACGAGCAGGGTCGCTGGAAGAAGAACAAGGCTCACCAGCAGGGACGCTTTTAGAAGAACCAGGCTCCCCCGCGATCTCCATGGAAGAAGAACAAGGCTCACCAGCAGGGACGCTGGAAGAAGAACAAGGCTCACCAGCAGGGACGCTGGAAGAAGAACAAGGCTCACGAGCACGGTCGCTGGAAGAAGAACAAGGCACACCAGCAGGGACGCTGGAAGAAGAACAAGGCTCACCAGCAGGGACGCTGGAAGAAGAACAAGGCTCACCAGCAGGGACGCTGGAAGAAGAACAAGGCTCACCAGCAGGGACGCTGGAAGAAGAACAAGGCTCACCAGCAGGGACGCTGGAAGAAGAACAAGGCTCACCAGCAGGGACGCTGGAAGAAGAACAAGGCTCACCAGCAGGGACGCTGGAAGAAGAACAAGGCTCACCAGCAGGGACGCTGGAAGAAGAACAAGGCTCACGAGCAGGGACGCTGGAAGAAGAACAAGGCTCACCAGCAGGGACGCTGGAAGAAGAACAAGGCTCACCAGCAGGGACGCTGGAAGAAGAACAAGGCTCACCAGCAGGGACGCTGGAAGAAGAACAAGGCTCACCAGCAGGCACGCTGGAAGAAGAACAAGGCTCACCAGCAGGGACGCTGGAAGAAGAACAAGGCTAACGAGCAGGGACACTGGAAGAAGAACAAGGCTCACCAGCAGGGACGCTGGAAGAAGAACAAGGCTCACCAGCAGGGACGCTGGAAGAAGAACAAGGCTCACCAGCAGGGACGCTGGAAGAAGAACAAGGCTCACGAGCAGGGTCGCTGGAAGAAGAACAAGGCTCACCAGCAGGGACGCTGGAAGAAGAACAAGGCTCACCAGCAGGGACGCTGGAAGAAGAACAAGGCTCACCAGCAGGGACGCTGGAAGAAAAACAAGGCTCACCAGCAGGGACGCTGGAAGAAGAACAAGGCTCACGAGCAGGGTCGCTGGAAGAAGAACAAGGCACACCAGCAGGGACGCTGGAAGAAGAACAAGGCTCACCAGCAGGGACGCTGGAAGAAGAACAAGGCTCACCAGCAGGGACGCTGGAAGAAGAACAAGGCTCACCAGCAGGCACGCTGGAAGAAGAACAAGGCTCACCAGCAGGGACGCTGGAAGAAGAACAAGGCTCACCAGCAGGGACGCTGGAAGAAGAACAAGGCTCACCAGCAGGGACGCTGGAAGAAGAACAAGGCTCACCAGCAGGCACGCTGGAAGAAGAACAAGGCTCACCAGCAGGGACGCTGGAAGAAGAACAAGGCTCACCAGCAGGGACGCTGGAAGAAGAACAAGGCTCACCAGCAGGGACGCTGGAAGAAGAACAAGGCTCACGAGCAGGGTCGCTGGAAGAAGAACAAGGCTCACCAGCAGGGACGCTGGAAGAAGAACAAGGCTCACCAGCAGGGACGCTGGAAGAAGAACAAGACTCACCAGCAGGGACGCTGGAAGAAAAACAAGGCTCACCAGCAGGGACGCTGGAAGAAGAACAAGGCTCACGAGCAGGGTCGCTGGAAGAAGAACAAGGCACACCAGCAGGGACGCTGGAAGAAGAACAAGGCTCACCAGCAGGGACGCTGGAAGAAGAACAAGGCTCACCAGCAGGGAGAATTAGGAAGCAGGAAGGCCCTCAGCTGCCACTCGCTGTGTGGAGAGACGCTGGAAGGCCGCAGCCCGAGTCTAAACACGGGGATACGAGACGAAAGGAAAAGTCTAAAGCTCAGCATCAGGGGAGAAAAACAAACAAGGCTCATGGGGAGGGAGAAGTAGGACGGCCCTTCACTGCCACTTGCAGCGTAAAGAGGAGCTGGAAGGCCAGCGCCTGAGTCTTGGCACTGTGAGCTGAGTGGGGCTGAGTGGGAGGGAGAAGTCAAAACCTCACCAGCAGGGAGACAAGCAGACGAGGCTCGCCAGGAGGGAGAAGTAGGACGGCCCTTGAGTGCCACTCGCTGTGTGGAGAGAGGCAGGGAGGTCAGCGTGAGTCAGAGAGCGAAGTAGAAAGCTCACCAGCAGAGAGAAATAGGAAGGCCCTTCACTGCCACTCGCTGTGTGGAGAGACGCTGGAAGTCCGCAGCCCGAGTCTTGGCATGACACCACCAGCATGCACCGCTCTCCACCCCTCTCTTGCCAACTCTTATGCTCTCTCCCATGCCCTCTCCCACGCCCCCTGTCTGGTTTCCAAGTGTGTCTCCTGTCTTGTCTCCCATGCCTTCTCTCATGCCACCCCTCCCCTTTTTTACTGCCTGCTGCGCTTGCTGCTGTTGCTCCTGCTGCTCCTGCTGCTGCTGGTGCTGGTTGTGGCGGTGGTGGTGCTGTTGCTGCTGCTGGTGCTGGTTGTGGCGGTGGTGGTGCTGTTGCTGCTGCTGGTGCTGGTTGTGGCGGTGGTGGTGCTGTTGCTGCTGCTGGTGCTGGTTGTGGCGGTGGTGGTGCTGTTGCTGCTGCTGGTGCTGGTTGTGGCGGTGGTGGTGCTGTTGCTGCTGCTGGTGCTGGTTGTGGCGGTGGTGGTGCTGTTGCTGCTGCTGGTGCTGGTTGTGGCGGTGGTGGTGCTGTTGCTGCTGCTGGTGCTGGTTGTGGCGGTGGTGGTGCTGTTGCTGCTGCTGGTGCTGGTTGTGGCGGTGGTGGTGCTGTTGTTGCTGCTGCTGGTGCTGGTTGTGGCGGTGGTGGTGCTGTTGCTGCTGCTGGTGCTGGTTGTGGCGGTGGTGGTGCTGTTGCTGCTGCTGGTGCTGGTTGTGGCGGTGGTGGTGCTGTTGCTGCTGCTGGTGCTGGTTGTGGCGGTGGTGGTGCTGTTGTTGCTGCTGCTGGTGCTGGTTGTGGCGGTGGTGGTGCTGTTGCTGCTGCTGGTGCTGGTTGTGGCGGTGGTGGTGCTGTTGCTGCTGCTGGTGCTGGTTGTGGCGGTGGTGGTGCTGTTGCTGCTGCTGGTGCTGGTTGTGGCGGTGGTGGTGCTGTTGCTGCTGCTGGTGCTGGTTGTGGCGGTGGTGGTGCTGTTGCTGCTGCTGGTGCTGGTTGTGGCGGTGGTGGTGCTGTTGCTGCTGCTGGTGCTGGTTGTGGCGGTGGTGGTGCTGTTGCTGCTGCTGGTGCTGGTTGTGGCGGTGGTGGTGCTGTTGCTGCTGCTGCTGGCGCCCCTTCCCCATTCCCTTTCTCACCACCTGCTGTTCCTACTGCTGTCGCCCCCGCCCCCTTCACTGCCTCACCGCCTGTTTCTCCTACTGCTGTCCCACCCGCCCCCTTCACTGCCTCACCGCCTGCTTCTCCTACTGCTTGTCCTCCCTTAACCCCCTTCACTGCCTCACAGCCTGCTGCTCCTACTGCTTGCGCTCCCTTAACCCCCTCAAGCAGGCTGTGCCATCTAGGGCTGAGCCGCCTGCAGGACCCGTGGAGAGCTGACGGGGTGTGTGCTTCTGGGATGGCTGAGGACAGGCCTGGGGTGGATGGGGAAAACGTGGAAAGATGACGTATGTTTTTTAGGCGCTTTGCGGAAAAATCTAGGTGGACGGGATTGGGCGGTTTTGGGAGCGTGTGGTGTGGTTGAGAGAAGGCGTGGGAGACGTCAGAAACGTGGAACGGATGTGTGCTTCTAGGATGGCTTTGGTCAGGCCTGGGGTGGAAGGGGTGGATGGGGTGGATGGGGTGGATGGGGTGGAAGGGGTGGATGGGGTGGATGGGGTGGATGGGGTGGAAGGGGAAACCGTGGCGAGAGTAAGTATCCTTTTGAGGTGCTTCGTGAAAAGAGTCAAGGTGGATGTGAGTGGGCGGTTCTGGGAGCGTGTGGTGTGGTTGAGAGAAGGCGTGGGAGTCGTGAGAAGTGTGGAAGGAGAGCGGAGGGGGGTAAAGGGGGTGGAGAGGGGGTGGGGGACGGTGTGCAGGAAATGAGGGTGTTAGAGCGAAGAATCAAGGAGTGCCGTAAATAGGCGCTCTACCCTAAACCATCTTGAATTTGTGTGAACCAGTATCAACCAATGAACAAGCAGGATTAATCGCAAAAGCTACATTCAACCACTGACAGCCAAGCTTACCCTGGCAGCAAAGGGTGTCTTGCAAGCTTGTTCCTTGTGGCACCACAGACACCTGCACTGTCACGTGGCCTTGTGTCGTGAACTTGACAGCGTTATCTGAAACGAAACCAAGGAAAGTAACCAGAAGTTGCAACCGGTCGTTACCACCATCACACACATCACCATCACACACATCACCATCACACGATTAGTTAATACTTCTCCTTGTATCCTACATTCACCCTATAAACTTGGGTAGAGATAGGCACCCAAACTAAGTTTGGGTGCACAACTAAGGTTAACCCTAACTCCGGTGTTGGCAATCCAACCATGGCCCAAAGGTTTGACCCCCAGGGTTGGGTCGGGAGATAATTGGACCCCCAATAAGTTTGGCCTAGCTGTGGCGAACATTTTTAGGACCCCCCAATAATTCTCCAACCCAACTTATTGGTGGGGTAAAAATGTAGGTCACGAACACCCTTGCTCAACCTCTATGTATACCCTTTCATACGTTACTCCAGTCCCTTGGCTCTTCCTACATACTCATGTTTTCTAGCACACACATCATCATCCCACCACCACCCGCCCACGTCTCAACCCAAGGCGCACCTGTGATCTCCTTGAGCGCATTGCTGAGATGCAAGGGGTCCACAATGACATGTACCGGGCAGTCGTCGCACACACTGCCGCTCACTGCATAGGGAGGAAGGAGAATGGAAGTTTCCAGCTCAACATTGCGGGAATGAGGCCGAGGTACGGAGCGCAAAGTGATGGTGAGGCACATAAAAAGTCGCTTCACTAAACGAGAATGATGCCGAGGTACATGGGGCAAACTGATGCCACTGGAATGAGGCACACGCACAACTTTAAGAACAATGAGACACACAGTACAAAAAGCAATGGGACACACTATATTAAGAGCAATGAGACACGCTATATTTAGAACAACGAGACACGCTATATTAAGAGCTATGAGACACACTGTATCAAGAACAATGAGACACATTGAGACACACAATATATGAAGAACACACAAAATATTATAAACATTGAGACACACAATATAGAAAACAATGAGACACACGCTTGCCAGTCAAAGGCGGCATGAAGCCACTCGCGCACATCAATCATCGTCTCATTCCGCGTGAATGCAGGCATGAGGGGCGACGACCTTCTGGTGCACTCACATTTGGCCCGTTTGGAGCGAGCCGCCTCCACATGCCAATCTAATGCGCCACGAAGCCACTGACGCACATCAACCGCCGTCTCATCCACCACCACCTTGCCTGCCTCCCGTTTGACCACATGCAGTGCACCCCTCGTTAGTAACCCAGCAACTCACATTCAATGCCTTTGGAGCGTGCTGCCTCCACGTGCCAGTGCAACGCAGCATCCAGCCACTTCCGCACGTCAATCACCGTCTCATCCACCACCGCCTTGCCTGCCTCCAGCTTCGCCAGGTCCAACACGCGGTTGACCAGATGCAGTGTTTTCTTTGCTGATGCTGTGGCCATTAGCAGGTCTTCTAGCTGGGAGGAGTCCAGGCCCATGTCTCCTAGAGCATCGAGCATGCCTGATGGGAGGGAAGAGCGATGTGGGCAGCAGACGCGTGAGTGCATGGGGCCATGAAGTCATATGAAACACCAAGTTGAGCGGATGCAGTGCATCCTTGGATGACAGTCCGACCATTAGCAGGTCCGGCAGTTGGAGCGGTCCAATGGAGGAAACCGAGAGAGACACAGGAGAGAGTGTGGGCTGAGAGCTTGTCCACGCCAGAGGCGCGGACGTAAGCAAGTGCAGCCTCAGACACGAAACGCAGCCTCAACACCAGGAAACTCAGTCCAGAGGGACTGCGTAACTTGGGGGTGTGAAACACGAGACCACAGGTTAAGCTGGTGCTTGGCGTAGCGGAATGAAAAGATGTCATAGATAATGAGGGCCGCCGGCATGACACATGAATGAAAAAATGATAATGGGGGCCGCCGGCATGACACATGAATGTAGGCGCAATCTCTGCGACCAAACCAATGCGGCACTCAGCGACCCCGTTCTGTTGCAATGAGGGGGGTACTATCCATATGTGCTAGAGCGAGAGGGAGGGAGGGAGGGAGGGAGGGAGGGAGGGAGGGAGGGAGGGAGGGAGGGAGGGAGGGAGGGAGGGAGGGAGGGAGGGAGGGAGGGAGGGAGGGAGGGAGGGAAGGAGGGAAGGAGGGAAGGAGGGAGGGGGGGAAGGAGGGGAGGAGGGAAGGAGGGAAGGGGGGAAGGAGGGGAGGAGGGAAGGAGGGAGGGGGGGAAGGAGGGGAGGAGGGAAGGAGGGAGGGGGGGAAGGAGGGGAGGAGGGAAGGAGGGAGGGGGGGAAGGAGGGGAGGAGGGAAGGAGGGAGGAAGGGAAGGAGGGGAGGAGGGAAGGAGGGAGGGGGGGAAGGAGGGGAGGAGGGAAGGAGGGAGGGGGGGAAGGAGGGGAGGAGGGAAGGAGGGAGGGAGAGGGGGGGGGGCATGAGCAAGTCTGGCAGCAGGAGGAAGCCCATGCCTGTTAGAGCGTTTGACCCATGCTTGGTGGGGGAAAAGGGATGTGGGTGGGAGAGAGGGGAGCAGGTAGGGTGCAGAGGGGATAACAGGAATGCAATACCTACCTATGATTCCAACCATGGGCGCCCGCAGCTCATGAGACATGAACGCTACAAACATGCTCTTCGATGCCTCTGCTTCACCTGCCTCCCGTCTCAGCCTATCAGCTTCCGCCATCTGCTGCTGGGTCTGCAGGAACTTAGCACGCTGCAGACATGCCGCCAGCAGCACGAGCAACACGAGGAGGAGGGCGAAGAGGGCGATGAGGATGGGGATGCCCCACGATTGCCACGTGCTGGGGGGCTGTGTGTGCCTGGGTGGGGTAACAGTTGCATGGGAGGATAGAAGCACGTGTGGAAGCTGAGTGTGCAAGGGCATAGGAGGAGGGCGAAGAGGGCGACGAGGATAGGGATGCCCCACATCTGCCATGTGCTAGGGGGATGTCTGTGTCTGGATGAGGGGGATAACAAGAAGATAGTTTATAAATAGTAAATTGTTGATGAGAAAGGCCCCGCACTCACTTGGGCAAAGTCGGCCTCGCTGGCCGATGTGCAATGTGGTCGATAGGGATTCGCGGCAAGTGTATCACGTGCGACAACAACGCGCCAGGTGACGTTATCGAAGGGGTTGAGCAAAAAAACGAACACCTGTTCGGTTTGCCTCGAACGTGTTCGAGGCGAACCGAACAGGTTTTTTTTTTTGGCTTACAATGTTCGCCCGAACACGTTCGTGTTCGGACCGCTGCTGCAATTTGCCCGCGACGAACACGAACAGTGTTCGAGGTTCGCCCGAACACGCCTTCACAGGCGAACGGCGAACACCATTTTTTGCTCAAAGAGTTCGCCGAACCGAACAGTGTTCGGTTCGGCAAACAAAGGTGTTCGTGTAGGGGCGAACACGAACACGTTCGTGTTCGCCACTTGCTCATCCCAGGCTGACAAAGCGCCTGCCAACGAGATTGTGACATGGGCGGCAGTGAATCTCCCAGTCAGCGAGTGCCTTGATCGACGATCCCAGTCGACAAAAGTAATCATCCGCGGAAAGCCAACCGACGAGATGAACGACATCGGCAGCGATGACCGAGCGGCGTCTTTCTGGTCGACCAAATTACTGGTTGTCAGTATTCTGCTTGTGTGCAAATTTCGCCCCAGGAGGTTGTGGCAAATGTCTACTTGTAGAATCAGCGTCACGTGCTCTACAACCTTGCACCTCCGCAATGTGCATCATGTGCACAGCGTGCACGTAACTGATTGTTGAGCAAACCTGCAGCTACTTGACATGTGGCTTGCATGTGCATGGTTCACCTGCCATTGCTGTGTTGGCAAGCCACCCTCGGTGGGTGCGACGCCAACATTGTGCAAGGTGGCCGTGATACTCGGTATATTGGTCCATGCCTTCCATAGCATCATATATTACTTACCTGTTCTAGTGTTAAACTAAGGTTGACTTTTCAAACGGGCACAGCGAGCACGCGCGAACCTACACAAGAGGTGACCCGCTAAGATACCCGTACGCCTCTCACGTAGTCTACTCCCGTTGTTGGTCAACTCTTCGCATGCATGCCATGCAGGGGCGTAGGATGAGTGTAAGGGGAGCAATGGGGAGACTCTTGAAGATGTCAAGTTACATAATGATTACCAGCTCTAAGTCAAGAGGTGACTTTCGACAGTCAAGAGGTGACTTTTGACAGTCAAGAGGTGACTTTCGACAGTCAAGAGGTGACTTTCGACAGTCAAGAGGTGACTTTCGACAGTCAAGAGGTGACTTTCGACAGTCAAGAGGTGACTTTCGACAGTCAAGAGGTGACTTTCGACAGTCAAGAGGTGACTTTCGACAGTCAAGAGGTGACTTTCGACAGTCAAGAGGTGACTTTCGACAGTCAAGAGGTGACTTTCGACAGTCAAGAGGTGACTTTCGACAGTCAAGAGGTGACTTTCGACAGCCAAACACTTCACACTCTCTGAACCAATCACATGATCACTAGAAAGCTCACCTGCTGTCGTATGGTGTACCATAAATATCCCCAGTCTCACCTGCACCAGACCTCGTACTTTCTCACACCTGCTCCCATCTCTAGAGGCACCACGGCTCGATGTTCCCAGGGGCGGGTTTCAGAGTTCGGGCAGGGGTGCATGGGGTGGAGCGAGAGAGCGAGCGAGAGAGCCCTAGAGAAAGGATGTAGAAGGCTTACTCACCTGCGATTATTGAGGCACCTCATAAACGGTTCTAGAAGGCTTACTCACCTGCGATTATTGAGGCACCTCATAAACGGTTCTAGAAGGCTTACTCACCTGCGATTATTGAGGCACCTCATAAACGGTTCTAGAAGGCTTACTCACCTGCGATTATTGAGGCACCTCATAAACGGTTCTAGAAGGCTTACTCACCTGCGATTATTGAGGCACCTCATAAACGGTTCTAGAAGGCTTACTCACCTGCACCAGACCTCATATCTGCGCACGCCCGCTCCCATCTCCTCTAGAGGCACCACTGCTCGATGCTCCCAGGGGCGGGTTTCAGAGTTGGGAGAGGGGTGCATGTAGGGGAGCTTGTCGTCGGGGCGGAAATAGGCATGGGGGGGGACTGGAGAGACGATGGCAAAGAGCGAGGCTGGGTCGGTGATGTCGTATAGCTCAAAGGACTTGGATGGGTCTGGATGGGAGGAAGAGAAGAGGGGAGGGGGGGATGGGGGGAAAAGAGGAGAGGGGGAGGAAGAAAAGGGAAAGAGGAGGGCAGAGATTAAGAAGAGCACAATGCAAACATCGAGATGTCTTCAACACGACGCAAACGTCAAGTCAAGATGTCTTCAACTTGTACGTCAAGTCAAGATGTCTTCAACTTGTACGTCAAGTCAAGATGTCTTCAACTTGTACGTCAAGTCAAGATGTCTTCAACTTGTACGTCAAGTCAAGATGTCTTCAACTTGTACGTCAAGTCAAGATGTCTTCAACTTGTACGGAAAAGTATTTTTGACAGCAAGGGGCATCGATAGGTTATGCAGCTCTGCACTCACCAGCTTCATATAGCTCCTGTAGGACCTTCTGTGCGATGTAAGTCACATCAAAAGATGCAGCCAGTGACCCGTACACTGGTCCCTTTGCTGATTGGCTTGAGTGGTTAGTGGGAAGGCTGCGGCGGAGAGGAAAGGCGACACCTGCGGTGGGGTCAGGAGAAACGAGAGAGATTGGATGGAGATTTTTATCACTATTTGCCACTAATGATAAAAGTAAAATTGCTGGAAGAGGTACACGTTGGAAGAGGTAGCCACTGGGAGAGGTAGCCACTGGAAGAGGTAGCCACTGGAAGAGGTAGCCACTGGAAGAGGTAGACGCTGCTTGGGCCGTTGTGAGTTCGGTCCGTTTGAGAGAGCAGCAGGTCACACCACTGCCAAGGCTATGCTACCATGGCCTCCCTCACTCACTCCCTCACTCACTCCCTCACTCAATCCCTCACTCACTCAACCACTCCCTCACTCCTTCGCTCCCTCACTCACTCACTCACTCACTCACCGAATCCGGCATGAGTGAGTGGATTGGCGAGGGCGTAGGGCCAGGAGTAGAAGTGCCGGCCTTCTAGCACAAGCGGGATCAGAGAGTAGTATCGTTGGAACATGTCAATGTTGCTGGGGCCGTTGGTTGCATAGAGCGTTGTGAGCTCTAGAATCTTCGGGCAGTAGATGGGGCGGCGTGCGCTGACGATCAGCGTGTTGTCTCTGATGCTGCCGTACTGCTTTTCAAAGGCCGGCCTGCAGCGACATGCGTGAGTGGGAGGGGTCAGGTGAGAAGGGAAAGGCGTAGAGTATTGTGAGCTCGAGGACCTCGGGGCAGTAGATGGGGCGGCGGGCGCTGACGATCAAAGTGTTGTCTCTGATGCTGCCGTACTGCTTTTCAAAGGCCGGCCTGCAGCGACATGCGTGAGTGGGAGGGGTCAGGTGAGAAGGGAAAGGCGTAGAGTATTGTGAGCTCGAGGACCTCGGGGCAGTAGATGGGGCGGCGGGCGCTGACGATCAAAGTGTTGTCTCTGATGCTGCCGTACTGCTTTTCAAAGGCCGGCCTGCAGCGACATGCGTGAGTGGGAGGGGTCAGGTGAGAAGGGAAAGGCGTAGAGTATTGTGAGCTCGAGGACCTCGGGGCAGTAGATGGGGCGGCGGGCGCTGACGATCAAAGTGTTGTCTCTGATGCTGCCGTACTGCTGCTCAAACGAGTCCCTGCATATAATGTGTGTGCGGTATACATATATATTTATACATATATATTTATATATATTTTTATATTTATATATTTATATAAATATAAATATGTATATATATATATATGAAGAGCAAAAAACAAACAAAAACGAACAAAAACGAACAAAAACAAAAGCACAATGGCATGAGGCCACGGCCACTCAACCACACTTCCCTCCGCCTCCTCTCTCCACACTTCCACTCCCATCTCGCTCACCTCTCTGCATCGCGCACCAGCGCACATGCGACCGCACCAGTGTTCCCCGGGCGAGTTGGTGCGGTGCGAGTGAGATAAGACACCCACATGCTGCCGTTCAAACACCTGCCCATGCCCCACTTGCTCCCTTGCCCCGGTTTGCCCATCACAGAAATCACACCTGAAAGAGTCTGACGCATGGGAGGGAACGAATTCGAATCACTATATACAGTGAAGAATGAAGAGAGGAGACTGATATTTAATAACCCACCCATGTCCCACTTGCCCACCCGCCCATGTCCCACTTGCCCACCCGCCCATGTCCCACTTGCCCACCCGCCCATGTCCCACTTGCCCACCCGCCCATGTCCCACTTGCGCACCCACCCTGGCTTGCCCACCACATGAATCAGCCCTGAGTGTGCGGAATGGGAGGGAAGTGGGGTCAAATATCTATTCAGTTCACAGTGAGCACTTCCCAGCGGAAACTCCTTCTATCGTTCAAACACCTGCCCATGTCCCACTTGCCCGGCCCACACGCATCTGGCCAGCATGGGCCAACACGAACCAGCATGGGCCAACACGAACAAGCATGGGCCAACACGAACCAGCATGGGCCAACACGAACCAGCATGGGCCAACACGAACCAGCATGGGCCAACACAAACAAGCATGGGCCAACACGAACCAGCATGGGCCAACACGAACCAGCATGGGCCAACACGAACCAGCATGGGCCAACACGAACCAGCATGGGCCAACACGAACCAGCATGGGCCAACACGAACCAGCATGGGCCAACACGAACCAGCATGGCCAGCACGAACCAGCATGGGCCAACACGAACCAGCATGGCCAGCACGAACCAGCATGGGCCAACACGAACCAGCATGGCCAGCACAAAACAGCATGAGATGATGAGGGCATGAGATGGTGAGGGCATGCGGACAAGCGAGCATGAGAACATGGGCATGAGGGCATGAGGGCATGAGCGCATGAGCGCATGAGGGCATGAGCGCATGAGGGCATGAGCGCATGAGCGCATGAGTGCATGAGGGCATGAGAGCATGAGGGCATGAGAGCATGAGGGCATGAGAGCATGAACGCATGAGGGCATGAGAGCATGAGTGCATGAGGGCATGAGGGCATGAGAGCAGCACACCAACACAGCTCACCTGCATCTGACCAGCATGGGTGAGCAGGGCCACTCCAGCCTCACTTGCATGAGGGTATGAGAGCATGCGGGCAGCACCCATACACCAGGTAAGAATGCTGACAAAAAACCACCCAGCCTTACCTAGGTTCGGCATCAACCCACTCCAACCTCACCTGCATCTGCCCAGCATGGGCCAGCACGAGCTGCTGCAACGTGAGGGCGCGCTCCTTGCACCACACTCCCAGCGCCTCCTCCCGGTGATCCTCGTACTGCGAGTGCCTCCAGTAGAGCAGCCATGCTGCTATCACTGCGCCACATGCCACCCACACGACCACCAGCAGCGTGAACAGGGACGCTGGGAGAGAGAGAGAGAGAGTGAGAGAAGGGCCGTGTGGGGAAGAAGGGAGATCTGATAAGTGTGGCGCCGGCCGCAACCAGACCATATGCGGCATGCCACCCACACGACCACCAGCAGCGTGAACAGGGACGCTGGGAGGAGACAAGGGGATGGATGGGGGGCGAAGAAGGAAAAAAGAGCTCTCGTGCTGCTTGTGCCTGTCCCACAGCACCGCAGTCATGCTGCTATGAGAGCGCCGCATGGCACCCACACGACCACCCACAAGGGCCGTTTGGGGAAGAAGGAAAATCTGATAAGCGTGGGGCTGGCCGCAACAGCACCTTGACGAAGGAAGCTGGGAGAGAGAGGGGAGAGGGAGGGGAGGGGAGAGGGGAGGGGGAGGGGAGGGGAGAGGGGAGGGGGAGGGGAGGGGAGAGGGGAGGGGGAGGGGAGGGGGAGGGGAGGGGGAGGGGAGGGGGATGGGAGGGGGAGGGGAGAAGGGCCGTTTGGAGAAGGAGGAAGATGTGATAATTCAGGGCCGGCCCGCAACCAGAGCACATGACCGCAATTTGACCAGAACATGAGATCCCTCGGCATGAGATAGGCATGTTAGACATGAAAAGGGCATGATAGGCATGTGATAGGCATGTGATAGGCATGTGATAGGCATGTGATAGGCATGTGATAGGCATGTGATAGGCATGTGATATGCATGAGATGGGCATGTGATAGGCATGAGATGGGCATGAGATGGGCATGAGATGGGCATGAGATGGGCATGAGATGGGCGTGAGATGGGCATGAGATGGGCATGAGATGGGCATGAGATGGGCATGTAATAGGCATCTGATAGGCATAGGCATGAGATGGGCATGCAGGTACGAGATTCAAGGGATCGGCATGAGGTTCCTAGGCATGAGATTCCCAGGCATGAGATGAGATCCTAGTACCAGGCATAGTCATCTCATGCCTGGGATTCCTAGTCATAGCCATGTAATCCCAGGCATGCGATGCGTTTATTACACGTACCAGGGTCTTAGAAGGATGGAAGAGGCAGAAAAAGAGGGTCTGAGAAGGGACGACGGCCCAGAGGAGACGTGGAAGAGAGGGAAACGACTTCTGAGGCGCCTCAAAAGGCGCCTCAAATGTGAGAGAGGGGACGGCGACTTCCGGAGGAGATGTGGAGGACTCTCCCACATCTCTCTCTCGAAGAGGGAGGATTCAATCCTCGGACATTGTCACTTTTTAGATCTTAGGAAGTTGAAGATCCGATTTTTTATGTCATTCGTCCTACAGATTTTTACGGAAGATTGGTCGACGAGGTTTTTTATCCTCGGATTCCTGGTATAGGGCATAAAAGCTCTCTTTCCTATCATCGTTACCCTGGAATAGCACCGAGGAGCAACCGACGGGATCTCCCGCCGCTGTGTCTTGATCCTTAGCTTCCTCCGCCTGTTTCTGCTTCAAACAACTCGGAACATGCCTGCTCCAACCGCCGCTTTGCGCTTTCGGCGTCATTCAAAGCTGCTTGTACCGTGACAGCTATACTACCCGAGTCGCCACGATTTTCCCTGTGGGATCGCCAGCGGCCGCGTTTTCCGACGCAAAAATCAATAGCAGCAGATCAGTTCATGATTCAGCGTCACGTAGGTATGGAGTGGTTGCTATTAGGTCATTGTGTCAGCCATCAAGGTTCAACGTCGCCTGGTTAGACTTGATATCTGCATTCTAAAGACGAGGGCCTCAGCCAACCAGCCAAATCTGGACGAAAAAACAAGTTCTTGCACACAACAATCACACTGTGAACCAACTCCGTTTCTCTGAGAGGAGTGCCAGGCCAATTGCTCAGATGATTCTGGGCTTCAGATGATTCTCTGAGAGGAGTGCCACATTCATTTTCCAGCTGGAATGAAGATTTGAGGTGCCCACAGGTGGGTTCCCCGAGTAGATTATGACGAACATCCAGCAATTTCAGAGCTGTCTCGTCAAATTCGAGCATTTCTCCGAGCACATTCAGCGTTTCCAAAAGTGTCTTTGAGTTTTTTCTATATTTGAGGATGATGAAATATATAACACTGTGAGAGCATTCCATTGTAGAGCTGATCTGGCTTAAGTACCCTTTGGCTTCCCAGACTCCACGCCAAATCTACCAATTCCTCCCCATTTTCCTTCACTGCTGTGGGTGGTGGGGGGAGGGACGGTGGGGTGGGGAGGAGTGCGGGATGGGTTGCGAGGTTTGCGATGGATTTGCTTCTGGCATGAAGCTTCAGACTACTGAACCAGAAGCGTGATGGGAACTCGTGAAACAGGAAATCTCGTGTCTAACCCTTAGTTTTCCTAAATGTTTTCGCAGAAGCTGTTTGAACTTGGGGTTATGACCTTGTTGCGTCCGCGCCGGCAAAATGAAGGACAAGCAAGCCTCAGTTCTGCTCGCCGCCGCTGTTGCAAACACTGTATCTTTCTGTCTCAGTTCTGTTCGCCGCCACTGTTCTACAACCCCGCTCAGGGCAATATTTTTCTGCAAGTGGGAGAAAGTGGCGTAAGGCGGGGTGAGGCCAGAATCAGCTGGGAAGACGTCGCCCGAATCCCTCCGCGAAAACCCGTTCGCCCCTGCGGGTTTCCCTCGGAGGGATTTTCGTTTTCCCTCTGTCGCGTGGCGGGGCACGCGAGGGGCGGGAGCCAGCCCACCCGCCCGCCCGAAACGAGCCACGCCAGCTCGGAGTGACGCGAGGTGGTCCTCGCTCGAGCTGGCGTTGACCCCACGTGCTCCCCCCGGTCTGCACCAACCCCGCCTGCACCAACCCCCCTGTCCGTCGAGTAAATCCGCCTCCGTCGACGGATTCCGTCTCGACCCGACGGAAAGTGGTGCAGAGAAAAACGTGGCAGAACGCGCCACAGAACAGCTGACACTGAAATAAAAGCGTATACCTAAACAAATAAATACATGAACTGCAATGGGCAAACTTGATAACGAATATGAGGCACAAAAAAAGGGGGCATTCCCTACAATTATCATTAATACGTATATCATCAATCTTACTCTTATTCATGCGCAGGTGCCAGGTAGAACACCTGTCGACGGTTTCGCTACCCGTGCGCCGTAGAGCAAGTGAATATGAACTTAATGAGAAATCACTCTTGTACCACCGGTGCCAGCCTTTCTAGCACGCTGCAGGGACCGACTCAACCGAGTACGAAGACGAGGGGTCAGGCGTTACTTTCACCGACCAGCTCGACGCTGCTTGGTCGAACAGCATTCGCCAAGATCAGCTCGTCGAGCACAGCACGCCGAGCAGTGCTCATCGAAGGGTTTCGTCGACAACTAATGTGCATTAGCAATGCACGTCGGTGTCGTCGACTCGATCCCGTCGAGCAGAGCATGCAATAGCATTTTTGTCGACGACCGTCCCGTCGTCGAAATAAAACGAAGTGTTGTCGAAGAAAGTTTGAAAGCGAATCATTGCCATATGTGAATTACCAACCTTTTCAAGTAGTGTAAAAATCATACAATTAAGAAAGCTATAGTTTGTTGAATATGATGCTTTTTCTGTATTTATTGTGAAAGTAATGAACAGGAATGAATTGACTAAGGAAAGATTGGGGTAGAAATACAACCCTAGAAACCTGTACCCCATATGTGCTACCCCACTATAGCCTACAGCAACTAGGTCATATAAATCTGACACACCCCCATAGGCAAAGTGGGGGAGAACAAGGGGTCACAAGACCAGTCAAGCAAAGCAAAGCAAAGCTCAGGGTGGATCACAAAGTCACCACACAGTCCGAGCACAAGGTCAAGGCCACAAGGCCAGTTCACATGCAAGACTAGACACACATATATATATATATAAGGCTAAACAAGCAAGAGCAGGTATATATATATATATATGCAAGAGTACAAGCAAGGTCAAGAGGTGAGCAAGTGAGGTAGGACAGGTACAAGTCCCAGCTGAGTGCAGAAGCGCTGATGGTCACAAGGTGCGAGTGCCTTGGTGAACACATCAGCAGTGTTGGCCTCAGAGGCCACGTACGCAAGCCGCAACTGTCCACGCTGCTGTAGCTCACGAGCAAGGAAGTAGCGAAGAGCAATGTGCTTCGTTCTGTGCTCCAGACGCTGCTCTCGACACAAGACCAGCATGGCCTTGTTGTCTACGTACAGCACTGGAGGAGAACGAGGCGGCTCTCCAAGGTCAGTCAGCAGGTAGGTGAGCCAGCGAAGCTCCTGTGCATCCATGGCCCCTACGTAGATCTCAGCCTCACAACTGGAGCTGAGAACCGAAGACGAGCAAGTAGCCCCCCACGAAACAGAGCCGGAACCAAGGCTGAAGGTGTAACCCTGTGACGACCGCTGCGTAGCCTGGTCGTCAGCCCAAGAAGCGTCCGCGTGGCCGGTAAGGACCACTGGACTCCGCCCTCCAAGCACTAGCCCCATGCCCGACGTACTGCACAAGTAGCGCAACACCCTCTTCGCTGCAGCCATGTGCTCTGGTCGGTGTCTCCCACGAGCAACATAGCGTGCAAGAATGCTAAGAGGGTATGCAAGGTCAGGTCGTGTGCAGGTCATCAGGTACATGAGGCAGCCAACAAGCTCTGGGTACGGGCCACTCGACTCTACGGACTCATCCGAAGGCAGAGCTGAGAGCGAGTGGCGAGTAGACAGAGGAGTGGCCTGAGGCGAGGAGTACGTGAAGCCGAAGCGCTGAAGGACCTGCTGCACCATGTGTGACTGAGTCAAGGTAATGGTGCGGCGTGCTCTGCCCCGAGTGATCTGCAAGCCAAGATAGCTGCGCAGTTCACCCAGGTCTGTGCACGTGTGTCTCTTCAGCAGCTTGGACTTCACGTAGGCGAGTCCAGCAGTGTCCGCTGTGGCAAAGACCAAGTCGTCGACGTACACGAGGATGTAGAACGGCGGCAAAGAAGAGTCGGTGCGCAGAAACAGCGACGGGTCAGCAATAGAAGGAGCAAACCCAAGAGCCGCAAGCGTAGTCCTCAGTGTGTCGTGCCACTCACGTGGCGCCTGGCGGAGACCGTAGACTGGACGCCGGAGACTCCACTGGGTACCAGGAGGGAAAGACCCAGTGAAGCCAGGTGGGCGGCGCAGCCAGATCTCCTCGTGCAGGCTGCCCTACAAGAAAGCAGTGCTGAAGTCGAGAGAGTGAAGCTCGTAGTCGCGCTGAGCGGCTATGTGCAGCAGCACCCGAAGAGTAGTCATCTTCGGGGTGGGAGAGAAGGTCTGAAAGT